ACTATTTATGAAAATTACTGTTAAACTTGTTTCATCTTATTTTTCAATATACAAATATTGTAGTTATTTGTGGATGTCGACTTGTCTCGTACCATGATAGGCGCCATCACGGCATGTTGAGTTTTGGGTTGTGACAAGTTGGTATAAGAGCCTGGGTTACATAGGTCTCACGAGTCATGAGTCGGTTTAGTAGAGTCTTGCAGAACGGTACAGAGACGTCTGCACTTATCTTCGAGAGGCTGCCAAACCCTTAGGAAAACTTCACTTTATTGTATTCTTATCATGCAAATTTGTTGATTCCGAAAACTAAACTTCTGCTATTCTATTCTCTCACAGATGATGAGGACACGTGCTACCGGATCAGGCGGATGGCTACCAATACCACCAGCTAAGGTCACTAGAGGTCGGGGTCACGGTAGATACCGAGATGAAGCTCGTACAATAGATAGAGCAGCACATGTAGACCCACTTATTGCTCCAGCTCATAAGCAGTCCAGATGTGATTGAGCCGGTGGGCCCTAACTCCAGAGCAGGTGGTGCAGGGACTTCAGACACCAGGGGTACTACCAGCCCAGCAAGTTGCAGCTGCTCAAGCCCAGATGGGTCCCCCGATGAGTGACGCGGGGTAGTAGAGGCTAGAGCACTTTGGGAGGCTCAAGCCTCCATCATTTAATGGGTCTGAGTTAGAGGATTCTCGGGACTTCTTGGATATGTGCCAACGGATTATTCGCACGGCGGTATTCTAGATACTAGTGAAGTCTCATTTTCTACTTTTTAGGTATCGGGGCAGTCTACAGATGGTGGGAGGCTTATGCGTTGAGCAGGCTAATCGGCGCTGCACCATTTACGTGGCACGAGTTCTCCGTTCTCTTCTTGGAGAAATTTGTCCCACTGACCAGCAGGGAGGAGTTGCATAGGCAATTTGAGCAGCTATGCTAGGAGGGTATGTCCGTGACCCAGTATGAGATGATATTTTCAGAGTTAGCTCGTCACGAGATATGGTTGGTTCCCATAGAGAGGGAGAGGATTAGAAGGTTCATTGATGGCCTCAACTATGGACTGTGCTTTGTTATGACTCAAGAGATTGCATCAGGTTCTAGGTTCGATGAGGTGGTCGATATTGCGAGATGGCTAGTAGGTCCGTAGTTAGGAGAATGAGGAGAGTATGGCCAAGAGGCCTCATGGTATATGTGGTTCCAGCGGTGTTTATTCTAGAGAGCAGTTCCACTATGGTAGGGGTCATCCTTAGAGGCCTGCTTAGATGACTCCTTTGGTTCATCGTGGTGCATCAGCTAGCCATGGTTCATACAGTGCTTGTCCGGGTCAGTCATCTCTCTGTGCCCTCCCAGCTCAGAGTTCATCTCAAGTTCCATCTGTTCAGGGTTCATATGTGTCAGGATTTTCTAGTAGTTATTCCGATTCTCGGGGTCCGATTCAGTCCCCATAACCATCAGGGAGTTGCTTTGAGTGTGGGGAGTTTGGACATGTGTGGAGGCAGTGTCCCCGTCGCTTTGGAGGTCCAATTCAGCAGAGGGGTCAGGTTATGACTTCCGCACCAGTTACTTCCCTATCCGCCCAGCCAACTTGGGGTGGGGCTCAGGCAGCTAGAGGTCAACCTAGAGAGGGAGGTCGATCATGTGGCAGTCAGGCTCGGTGCTATGCTTTGCCTTCCAGGCCAGAGGCCGTTGCTTCAGACACAGTGATCACATGTATTGTCTTAGTATGCCACAAGGATGCTTCTATATTATTTGAACCTATTTCCACTTATTCGTATGTATTATCATATTTTGCTCGTTATCTGGATATGCCTCGTGAGTCCTTAGTTTCACGTGTTCATGTATCTACGCCGATGGGCAATTCTATTATTGTGGACCATGTGTATCGGTCGTGTGTGGTGACTATTAGGGGATTTGAGACTAGAGTTGATCTCTTATTGCTTAGTATGGTTGATTTCTACGTGATTCTGGGAATGGATTGGTTCTCCCCATATCATGCTATTTTGGATTATCACGCTAAGATTGTGACGTTAGTTATGCCGGGGTTACCTAGGATCGAGTGGAGAGGTTCTTTGGACTATGTCCCTAGTAAGGTGATTTCATATCTGAAAGCCCAACAGATGGTTGGGAAGGGGTGTTTGTCATATTTGGCTTTTGTAAGGGATGTTGGTGCTGATACTCATACTATTGATTCTGTTCTGGTAGGGCAAGACTTTCTGGATGTGTTTCCTGCAGACCTGCCGGTATGCCACCCAACATGGATATTGATTTTGGTATTGAGTTGGTGTCAGGCACACGACCCATTTCTATTCCTCCGTACGTATGGCACCAGCAGAGTTGAAGGAATTGAAAGAACAACTTCAGGAGCTTCTTGATAAGGGGTTCATTAGACCTAGTGTGTCACTTTGGGGTGCACCGGTTCTATTTGTGAAGAAGAAGGATGGAACTATGCGGATGTGCATCGACTATAGGCATTTGAACAAAGTTACAATTAAGAATAAGTATCTTTTGTCACGCATTGATGACTTATTTGACCAGCTTCAAGGATCTAGGGTGTTTTCTAAGATTGATTTGAGGTCGGGGTATCACCAGTTGAAGATTCGGGACTCGGATATTCTGAAGACGACATTCAGGACCCGCTATGGTCACTATGAGTACCTTGTGATGTATTTTGGGATGACCAATGCCTCATAAATATTCATACATCTGATGAACAATATGTTCCAGACATATCTTGATTTGTTTGTCATAGTATTTATTGATGATATCCTGGTGTACTCACGTAGCCAGGAGGAACATGCACAATATCTGAGGATTGAACTATAGCGGTTGAGGGAGGAGAAGCTTTATGACAAGTTCTCTAACTGTTAGTTTTGGCTCAGTTTGGTGGCGTTCTTGGGGAACGTGGTGTCCAGTGTGGAGATTAAGGTGGATCCAAAGTAGATAGCGGTAGTTCAGAGTTGTCCCATACCGTCATCAGCTACTGAGATCCAGAGTTTTCTCGGCTTGGCAGGATTTTATCGTCACTTCGTGGAGGATTTCTCGTCCATTGCAGCGCCTTTGACCAGGTTGACCCAGAAGGGTGCTTCATTCAGATGGCTGGATGAGTGTGAGGAGAGCTTTAAGAAGCTCAAGACTATCTTGACCACAGCTCATGTTCTAGTTTTGCCTTTAGCATCGAGTTCTTATACAGTATATTATGGTGCTTCTTGGGTTAGTATTGGGTGTCTATTGATGCAGGAGGGTAGAGTGTTTGCTTATGCTTCAAGCCAATTGAAGCCCCATGAGAAGAACTACCCCGTTCATCATTTAGAGTTGGTAGTCATCATTCATGCATTGAACATTTGGAGGCATTATCTCTACGGCGTGTCTTGTGAGGTATTTATGGATCATCGAAGTCTTCGGCACTTGTGCAAACAAAAGGACCTAAATTTGAGGCAGCAGAGATGGTTGGAGCTGCTAAAGGACTATGATATTATCATTTTGTATCATCCCCGGGAAGGCCAATGTGGTGGCCGATGCCTTGAGTAGAAATGTGATGAGTATGGGTAGCCTTGCATTTATTCTTATTGGTAAGAGACCGCTTGCATCAAATGTTCAGGCCTAGGCCAATCAGTTCGTGAGGTTAGATATTTCGAAGCCTAGTCGGGTTCTAGCTCGTGTGGTTTCTCAATCTTTCTTATATGATCGCATTAGAGACCGTCAGTATGACGACCCCCTTTGCTTGTCCTTAAGGACACGATCAGTACGGTGATGCCAAAGAGGTTTCTATTGGATATGATGGGGTGTTGTGGATGCATGGACGAATTTGTGTGCCCAATATGGATGAGATGCGTGGGTTGATTATTTATTCCATTCATCCGGATGCCGCAAAGATATACCAGGACTTGAGGCAGCACTATTGGTGGAGGAGAATGAAGAAAGACATAGTGGAGTTTGTAGCTCGGTACTGGAATTGTCAGCAGGTGAAGTACGAGCATCAGAGACCGGGCGGTTTGCTTCAAAGGCTTGAGATTCCTAAATTGAAATGGGAGGGTATCACCATGGACTTCGTAGTTGTGCTCCCATGGACTTTGAAGAAATTTGATGCTATTTAGGTGATTGTGGACCGGCTGACTAAGTTCGCGCATTTAATTCTAGTTGGGACTACCTATTCTTCAGAACGGTTGGCTGAGATCTATATTCGCTAGATTGTTCGCCTTCACGGAGTGCCGGTGTCCATCATCTCAGATCGGGACACACAATTTATATCACAGTTTTGGAGAGCAATACAACACGAGTTAGGGACACAATGAGTTTACTATGAGAGTTGGGCACACGGGTTAAGTTGAGTACAACATTCCACCCTCAGACGGAAGGACAGTCTTAGCACACCATTTAGATATTGGAGGATATGTTATGCACTTGTGTCATGGATTTCGGGGGTTCTTAGGATCAGTTCCTGCCGCTTGCAGTGTTTGCCTACAATAACAACTACCAATCGAGTATTCAGATGGATCCGTATAAGGCCTTGTATGGGAGGAGGTGTCGGTCTCCGGTTGGTTTGTTTGAGACGGGTGAGGCTAGGCTATTGGGTACTGAATTGGTTCAGGATGCACTACTAAAAAATGGTTCTATTGGAACGGTTATTTTGTAACGGTTAGAGAACGGTTAGAATAGATTATGTATTGGAACGGTTTTAAGCGTCTCGAGAACGGTTAGAATAGATTATGTATTGGAACGGTTTTAAGCGTCTCGATAGAGTCAAAAGGCTTTTAAGACACTTCTTAAGTAAAACCATTCCAATATTATAGTAACCGTCACCATAATAAATCTATGAAAACGATTTATAAAGGCGATACAATAGGGTTATTTATGGGAACGATTTGGTAAAATAAAATATATATTGGGACAATTTATTTTTCCCTCCCTACTTTCCCTTCTACATATTTATTAAAAAAATAAAAAATAATAGATGACCCCACCAAATTTTAATATTAACTCTTTAATTTAGTTTGTAAACTTAGAAAACGCATTTCATCTCTCTCGTCTCATCATCAGAATCCCTTTCGTCTCTCTCTCTGCTCATCAGTCTTAAACCTAGAAAAACTCGCCATCGATGAACTGTGGGGGCCGCTCTGACGAAGGAAGATCCATTCTGGCGAAGGACAACCATTTCGGCTAATATAAGGGGATCTCAGATGTAGGTTATCGGTATTTTCCCATGTTCGATATTGTTGTTTGATGTTCGCTATCGTTTCGCCGGAAACTTATTTCACTGCTTCTTCTTTTTTCTTTCTCTGGTAAAATTTCTGATAAACCCGTTAATTTACTTTGCCTTTTGTTTGTAGTATATGTTAAATTTTGTGGTTTCTAGTTTGTAAAATTGGGGCTTTAGTTGGTGAATTTTGATAGATGAAAGGGCTGTTGAAAATAGATCAATTTAATGTTTAAATCTTTTTAAAGATAATGATTCGGGAAATTAAACCATTGTTAAGACAACTAGTTCATACAGATAAGTTGATTCGGGTTTAGTTGGAGGTTTAGAGGGTGTTTGGCTAAGCTTATAAGCTGGTCAAACTAGCTTATAAGCACTTTTCGGCTTATCTACGCATTTGGTAAAGTTAAAAGTGCTTATAAGTCATGTGCTTATAAGTCAAAAATAAGCCAAAAGCCATAAGTTGGTCACCCCCAACTTATGAATTTTTAGCTTATAAGCACTTTAAGTTTGACCAAGATTTTTTACTATTTTATCCTTAAAATATTCTTCTTTAGAAAAAAAAATACTTGCATCGATACTCACTGCCTCAAGTATTGTTTCAACCTAAACCCCGCCTCTTAAAGTATTGAATTCTCATTGACTATTTAAGATAAGCAAATTCTCTATTCCTTTGCATATTTGTATCTTTGTGATTGTGTATTAATCTTTGAATTGTATGTAATAAATGAGGACATATTAAAATTTTTGGTGTATTGCATTCTAAGTGTTGTGGTGATGAAGACAATGTTTGTTACTCTTCAAATATTTTGTCCTATTTAGATTTATTTTTTACTGAGAAACTTTTGTCAATGTATTTAACTATTATAACTTATAATTATATGCTTATCATAAAATAAATTATATTTATCATAAAAATTATCTTATCTAAGCATATTTGTATTTAAAATAAAATGACAAATAGAATATCTAAGCATATTTGTAAGTCATTTTAACAGAAAAAGATCTTATCAGCATTTTTTTTATCAAATACTACAATAACTTATTATTAATTTCAGCACTTGTATCCAAACACGTAACTGCTTATTTATTAAATCAGTTTCAGCACTTAAAAAGTGCTTTTCAGCACCTAATGCTTATCAGCTGCTTCAAATCAGCTAATCCAAACAGGCTCTTAGTATGGACTTTTATAAGTGGCTTTTATTCTATCTGTCTTATTATCTGATTTTTTTTATTAAGAGTATATAAACCAATTTATACTGGTTGTTTTGTTGTTGCTGCATATATTCTGCTTGCTGCTATTGTTATTTTATCTTCTTTCACTGCTTTTTCTTTGTCGTCACTGCTACTTTTGTTTTAAATTTTCTGTTCTTGCATATGACCTTGCCAGGTGAATAAGAAAAGAGAAAACTCATAGGAAGAGGCTTATTGTGGAGGTAATAGTCTGGTCCTTTGTTTTCACTTTTTCCTTTGGCTTTTCCTTGTCTTGCAATCTGAAACCATTACTTGGAAACCATCATATATGCATCCTTTCCAACTTACCATGTGAGGTCATAGTTTATTCTGAAACTATCATATGCAGCGCATTGCCATAGTTTACTCTGAAACTATCATATGCATATCCTTAACTTATCATATGAAGCTGCACTTTATTTGTCATTCTATTGTTATCATTTATATAATACCTATTAAAGCTATTTTTATTTGTATTCTTCATTTATCTTGGCCATTGCTGTTGTCTTTCCCATCTTTCTCTGCTTCATTGCTGCTGTCTTTTTTTTTCTTTTCGTTTTTCACTTTGTTGCTACTGCATGTATACTCTGCTCGATGTTGCTGCCATTTTTAAAGACTAGCCAAAGGTCTTGCAATCTGAAATTTCCTAAAACTACTAAACAAAATACAATCATACTTGGACAAGGTGTACAACATCAAAAGATAATTAAGCTATAAGCAGAAACGATTAAATTGTAGAATGCAAAAATCGAAGATGTCTTGGCTTCATCAGAAGTGTCAAATTGCTAGTCACTGAGTACTATTGTGGAGATATTATTGCAGTTGCTCCACACTCATGATTGAAGCAAGAAAACGACTAGTTTGGACCAAATGCCATAGCGCATAGGGTTTAACTTTATTGTTGCTTCTAATTTGTGAATTACTCATCCAATATAGCTATATTATCTAATTTAATAGGCTTAAGGGTGCTTTACTGTTTTCCTTTTCTGATTTCTTCCTATTGTATGTGAATTTCCTACTTGTCTTAGAAGAAAAGTAGATTATCGTCTACTGTAAAGAATATCAGTTGTTTTTAACAGTAATCTAATTTTCTAAATATGCATTGAATACATTATGAGTTGAACCAAAGTATTTTTGCCAGGGCTTAATGCTTCTTAGGTGCTTCATGTAGCCTTGTATTTATAGGAAGTTATGACCACATCTTTATTTTCCTTTTCAAAGTTTAGCTGAGAAAACTTGTCCAGTTGTTGTTTGATGTTTCTTTCTGTTGGCAGAAAGTTATTACCAAATCTTCTTTTTCCTTTTCGAAGTTTAGCTGAAAAAACTCGTCCAGTTATTGTTTGATGTTTCTTTCTGTTGGGATAGTCGTATTTACAAAGGAAACTCTACCGAAAATTTTAAAAATTTAGATGTTTCTTTCTGTTGGTCATTCAGTTACTTTGTGATTCAATTATCTTAAATTTTTCTTTGTTTAATTCTGATTGAATTTCGTAGGTGTAGCTATTGCGGATGAAAGCAGTGATGAAGACCTTACTTGAGTGTTGTTGATCGTTGTTAAACTTTCTATCATCATGTTCAAGGATTGTTGGACTCATCGATCAATTTTGACTTTTGAATTGTTGATTAAACAATGTATTTATAATTTGTTTTTGTATATGGATAATGCGAGTTGGTAATTTAATTTTATTTCGTGGTTTATATAAGTTATGGTGTATAAAATTTCATTGCATAGGAAAATATTCGTCATTTTGGTTCCATAAATATTAGAAATTACAATAGTGAATTGTTGCAATAGACAATATAACTGTTCCAATAGACCTAGCAAACAACAATAGCAACCCTTTAATAACCGTTGCAATATCCGTTGTAATAGGCTACAGATAATTGTTCCATTATATAACAAAACTATTGCAATATATCATGAAAACCATCGCAATAGACTTAATAAATCGTTAGTATAATTATAACACAACGGTTTATAACCGTCCCAACAAAATAGAAAATTATCCCCATAGATTGATCAATGGTACTGTCACGATCCAAAAACGTAATCTGTCGTGATGTCGCCTATCGTGGAACTAGACAAACCGACTCATTTCCAAACAAATCGATATTTTTCATTTCAAAGATAATTTCAATATTATTTAACATAAAACCTTCATTTAAGGAGTTCAAATCAAAGAAAACAAAAGTGCAGAAAAGAAAAGCCCGACATCGGAGTGTCACTAGTCATGAGCATCTACTACAAACTGTCTAACAATATCAAGGCTAACTCAGCCTAGAAAGTAACTAAATACAACTAGAGGAAGATAAGAGGTAGAAGAGCAGGGGCTGCGATCGGCAAACAGCTACCTTGCTATCTCCAAGAAAATCTGCAACAAGAACACTCAATAACCGCTACCATGTCCAGCTACACCTAAATCTGCACATAAGGTGCAGGGAGTAACGTGAGCACACCAACTCAGTAGGTAACAACAATAAATAAAGATTGAGCAGTAGTGACGAGCAATAAAGCATATAACGTCCATATCGTGAAATCTCAGTAAAGTACAACATGCTTTAAAAATCAGTGTTTGAATAAAATCATCTCGTTTAAACCCGGTTCCAGTTAAAAAATCATTTAAAGATATTTTTCGAATAATTTTTCAAACAAAGGCTCAATGCAAAGGTGAGCAAAAATGATGAAATCATAAACAGCCCCTCGGGCAAAACATCACTTATATACAGCCCCTCGGGCAAATCTCACAGTCACTCGTGCCACTCGGGCATACTTCACAATCACTCTTGCCACTCGGGCATACCACACAATCACTCATGCCTCCCAGTCACTCGGCACTCGCACTCAGTAGGTACCTGCGCTCACTGGGGGTGTGTACAGACTCCGGAGGGGGTCCTTCAACCCAAGCGCTATAATCTGCACGGAAAACTCACGTGCCATAATAATAAAGTATGTTGCAGGCGGACAGCCCCGATCCACACTCATCCTCATAATTCAGGCCCTCGGCTTCACTCAGTCATAAACCTCTCGAGCCACTCGGGCATTTCAGTAAAACAGGGCATTCGGATTTACAATCATTACTTACCTCAAACCGGTCAAATCTCTAACCCGCAATGCTCTTGCCTCTAGAATCGGCCTCCAGATGCTCCGAATCTATTCACAATCAGTACAATACCATCACTACGCGCTAATAGAATGAATTCCACAAGAAAAACTATAAAATTAGACCAAAACCCGAAATTGGCTCAAACCTGGCCCCCGGGCCCACATCTCGAAATCCGACAAAATTTATAAAACTAGAAAGTTCATTCACTCACGAGTCTAACCATACCAAATTCATCAAAATTTGACATCGTTTGGTCATTCAAATCCTTAAATTACTCTCTAAAAACTCCAAGCTCTAACCCCTCATTTTCACTAATTACCATATGATTAAACAATGAAAAATCATAATATATACAAGAATTAGGGCTCAAGTAACTTACCTCAACGAAATCCCCTTGATTCCTTCTTCAATTCTCTCCCAAAAGCTCCAAAAACCGAATAGAAATGGTGGAAATGAACCAAATTCGTGAAGGATTCTATTTATGGTTTTTGCCTAAGTTTTTCGCTCCTGCGGCCATTTTCCTTGCACCTGCGGACTCGCATTTGCTGTCCCAGGTGCGCATCTGCGAAACAAGCCCAAACTCCACATCTCCGCATCTGCGCTCAAGGCCTCGCACCTGCGGGCTCGCAGATGCGGCCAATTCTTCACACCTGCGTTCCCAGCCTTGGCCCAGCGTCGCTCGAACCTGCGCACTCCCACGCGCACCTGCGACCCTTTCTTCCGCAAGTGCGGAAATAGTAGAAGCAGCAGCTCCAGCTGCAAAGTCCAACTTCGACAAATCCGTTAACCACCCGGAATCACCCCTAGGCCCTCGGAAACTCAACCAAAAATACCAACAAGTCATATATCAACATACAAACTTAGTCGAACCTTCGAAACACTCAAAAAAATATCCAAACACCAAATTACCCTCGGATTCAAGCCTAAAAACTTCTAAATTTCCAAATTCGACAACCGATGCCGAAACTAACCAAACCACGTCCGAATAACCTCACATTTTGCACACACGTCATAAATGACACTACGAACCTACTCCAACTTCCGGAATTCCATTCCAATCCCGATATCAAATTTTTCCACTGCCGACCAAAATCGCCAAATTTTCAATTTCACCAATTCAAGCCTAATTATACCACGGACCTCTAAATCATATTTCGGATGCACTTCTAAGTCCAAAATCACCTAACGGAGCTAACGGACCCATCAGAATTTAAATCCGAGATCATTTATACATAGGTTAATATCCGGTTGACTTTTTTAACTTAAGTTTCTACTTAAGAGACTAAGTGTCTCAATTCACTCTGAAACCACTCCGGTCCCGAACCAACTGACCTGATATAACATAATATAGCTGAATAATACAAAAAAAAGTAGAAATAGGGAAAATGGGGTTATAACTCTCGAAATGACTGGTCAGGTCGTTACAGGTAGGAGTTTCATAACCGTTACAGTATCCATATATGGAGACAGTTTTGAAACCGTTACAATTAACAGTTCCAGTTAACCTATTGTAATGCTGGATCTTAGAACACATCCCAAATCGTCCCATTAGCCCTACAGGGATTGTTACACCAATCAGAAGGTTCGTGATGTTACTTACATGGTGGGAGAGAAGGTATTGCTCAGAGTTTCACCCATGAAGGGTGTTATGAGGTTTGGAAAGAAGAGCAAGTTGAGCCCTCGATATATTGGGCCTTTTGAGGTGCTTGAGAGGATTGGAGAAGTGGCTTACAAGCTTACATTGCCTCCTACTCTATCGAGTGTTCATCTAGTGTTTCATGTTTCCATGCTCCATAAGTATTTTGGCGATCCGTCTCATATTTTGGACTTTAGCACGGTTCATTTAGATGGAGATTTGACTTACGATGTGGAGCCGGTGGCTGTTTTGGATTGGCAGGTTCGAAAGTTGAGGTCAAAGAATATAGCTTCAGTGAAGGTACAGTAGAGAGGTTAGCCAGTCGACGAGGCTCCTAGGGAGACCTATCAAGAGATGCGTAGCAGATATTCACGCCTATTTGAGACTCTATGTATGATTCTAGACCCGTTCGAGGACGAACATTTATTTAGGAGGGCGAGAATGTAACGACCCGACTAGTCATTTTGAGTATTATAGCCCTATTCTCCCATTTATTGCTTATTCTATGATCAATTTTTGTTATGTGACTTTTCAGGGTGTTTGGTTTGGTTCCGGGGATGTTTCGGAATGAGTCAGGACACTTAGTCCCAAGGTTGAAAGCCTAAGTTGAAAGAGTTGACTGAATGTTGACTAATGTGTTAATGACTCCAAAACAGAGTTTTGATGATTCTGATAGCTCCATATGGTGATTTTGGACTTAGGAGTGTGTCTGAATATTGATTGAGAGGTCCATAGGTGATTTGGCTTGAATTGGCGAAAGAGAGAAAAGTTGAAGTTTGGAGAGTTGAGAAGTTTGACTGAGAGTCGACTTTGTGGTTACCGGGCTTGGATTTTTGTTCCAGAAGTTGGAATAGGTCCGTTGTGTCATGTGTGGAAACTTTGAGGTCAATCGAAGTTGGTTTCATAGGTTTCGGCATCGATTGTAGAAGTTGGAAATTCATTAGTTTCATTAAGCTTGAATTGGGGTGTGATTCATATTTTGATGTTGTTTGATGTGATGTAAAGCCTCGACTAAGTTCTTATGATATTTTAGGACTTGTTGGTATGTTTGGTTGAGGTTCCGAGGGCCTCGAATGGATTTCGGATAGTTAACAGATTGAAATTGGACTTAAAAAAAAAATTCTGATGCAGCTGATGACTGGTGCTATCGCACGTGTGGAGGATTGGTCGCAGATGTGCGACTGCAGAAGCGAACATGTGTCGCAGGTGCGGTTTTGTGGGAGTTGGGAAGTAGTCGCAGGTGCGAGGGATGTTTCTGCATCTGCGAGCCCGCAGATGTGACAAGTCTCCGCAGATGTTGATTTTGGTTGAGGTGGCTGGCGATCGCATAAGCGGAGAGGAATGCGCAGAAGCAGACGCGCTGAAGCGAATAGAAGACCGCAGAAGCGGTTTCGCATAAGCTAGGGTTGGGCCGCAGGTGCTACTGGTCGAGTCCTTAAGTGGATTTCGCAGAAGCGGCCCTTTTTCTGCAAAAGCGGAGCCGCAGGTGCGGTTGGGGAGTCCGCAGGTGTGAAAATGCCTAGGCAGATTATAAAATCGAGGGCTTGAGTTATTTTCTCATTTTTGGACTTTGCAAGCTCGGTTGGAGGCGATGTTTGAGAGGGGTTTCACGAGATTTCAAGAGGTAAGCCACTTTTGGTCATTTTTATCTATTAATATTGAATGCCCATTGAATTTTCCACGTAGACTATGTGTTTTAGGGTGAAATTTAGGGAATTTTGGACTAGAGATTAGAGAGTAAGATTTGGGGATTTGGGTGACGATTTGATATCGAAATTGGGTAATTTTGGTATGATTGTCTCATTATTGAATCAGTGTTCGGATTTTGTTAATTTTATCGAATTTTGAGACGTGGGCCCAGAGTTGACTTTTTGATTTTTGCTAAAGAACCTAGCTTTATCATATGGAATTGATTCCTATAGCTTGTGTTGATTGTATTAAGGGTCAGTTTGGAAAGCCACCA